CATTGGTCTCCTCAAGGCTACATGCTGATACATTCATTTATTCAGCAGTTCTGTATACAGAGAGCAATACTAATCTTTATGACAGCTAGAGGTATACTAGGGAGCCTAAAATAGCATCTTGAAAAATACTTTTTCTTTATGGAAGCTCTATTCAAAACAGACACCCACATGCATGCAAGTCTAGCTCTTCCCTAAGGAGACAAGAATATTTTACCTTGAGTATTTCAGCTTGGTAATAACAACACACACTTATTTCCTGTTTCACTGAAACCAGAAATTAAACACTGGTAGATGCCTTGCAATTTATCCCTGCCTGGTGTCAGCATCCTTTGAGGATTTCAAACAATGACCAGGTTCATTTATGGAACGTACTGAGAATGTTTAACAACAAGAACAACAACAATGCAAGAATAATGCACTACAAAGCAACACCACTGCTGAACTGGAGAAAATAATCTGCTTTCAATGTTTTTGGAATGGCATATATGTCATAATATAAAGTGGGTAATTTAATAAAAGGATTACATCTAGGAATCAAAATTTAAAACCTGTAATTTCATTTGAATTCATGTAAGCTCAAATTCACATAAATTAACATTTATTTTTTTGCCTAGTCACCAATTTTTTTTAATGTATTGAGACTCTAGATGAAAAAGGAAAACGTATGTTGCGACTATGAGTCTTTCAGAAAAACAATTGGAAAACTTTGATTTGCGCTCAATTAATAGAGACTTAACAGCTATCTTAGAAACTTTAAAAATCTGATAGGAAAAAAGCATATCAAATGGGTCGGATGGAAAAATGACTGAAGATATATTATCAAATCCTTTTTTTAATTATAACAAACCTATATTACTTTACATGATGGATCATCATCATCATCATCTTCATCATCATCAAACAAGCTTTGGAATATGATTTTTAAGCAAGCATTGCACAGATCAAAAACATAATTCTTGCTCCAGAGATGATGTTCTAGTCTCTTTTTTTTTCTGAATAAGTAATATCAAATGATAACACTCTATGAGATACAGGATATAATCTTCAATTTTACATTATGTCACTCAAAATGTTTATAATGACCTTAATGATTTCTACTTTTACAATTCTTCTAAATTGTTTTTAACATTGCATTTTAATGCATTATTTCCTTTTTGTAAGCGATTCTGAGTACACACTAAAAAAAAAGCAGGGTAGAAATTTTAAATATAATTAATATTAATGAGCAGCATCATTGTACCATATGCTAAAATAATTCAGCAAAGGGACAAAGAATTAAAGGAGACAAGCTACATATGTTGTCTGCATTAGCAAAGACTAGTTGGACAGGAAAACTCTTAGAGAAAGCTCAACATTGAATAACAGGTCTTGAATACATTTTTGGAAGACAATGGGAAAAACACAATAGGAAATTACAGTTATCTGGAGTTTTAAAACATTTTCTGAGATTTTAGAACAGATTGAAGAAATTTGGTAACAATCAAAATTTTGTTCTATTAGACACAAAGATCTAAAGATGTGGCACACCTTAGCTGTGCATGATTGGAAGAGGTAAAACCCAGCATATGACTTTAATTGATTAGTCCACCCTACCATAGAGGGAAATATAAATTTTAAAATACAAAATACATTTTGATATTATATTTTATTATGTTTTTATCTAGTATAATAACAATTGTCTAAGAATTTCATGTTTTATTAGGCAAGAATTAAGCATTCAGATGATTTAAGTTACAGAGAACACTAATTTTAATGGCTTACATAACCATCAGCAGGAAAAGGATTTTTCATAGCTTGGAGAATGTGAGCAGAAGGACAATTATTAATTCTTCCATCCTCCAAAAAGCAGGCAGATATTTAAGTAATGATACAATTTTTGCACAGTTAGGCTAAAAACGTCTGGGGGACTGCTTGGATCACCTAATCACTGTGATAACTGCCCAATATTTTTATATCTTTGTCTATGAGAAACAATTATTTTCACTGGAAAAGAGAAAAAAATCTTTTTTGTTTGTTTTGATTTTATAGTTTTATTGATTATTTTTTTTCTCAAGAATTTATCATTTTTTAGATTTGCCTGTTTATCTTCATGTTCACATATTTCCATGCAACACATCTTAAGAGATGATACTGAAACTGTTTATATACATGGTCCAGGATAATTTTTAGTACCTTTTAAAAATTCTATGCTTGGGTTCTAGAATTAGACATATTACTTATTTAAATATTTTTTGCATTAAGTATATGTTAAATGCAAAAAGAAGTTGTCTTGGTATGTTTTTACAATATAGGTAGTCCTCGTTTAGCAACCACAATTGGAACCAGCAACTCTGTCGTTAAGCAAAGCAGTCGCCAAGTGAAACCATGACTGGGCTTATGATCTTACTTCAGCTTTCCGTTGCTTTACAGACCTGTGAAGGTCGTAAATGTGAGGACTGGTCATAAAGTTACTTTTTCATCACTGCTGTAACAATGGACGGTTGCTAAATGAGGCAGTCGCTAAACAAGGACTACCTGTAGTAAGAAAACATGCTCACATGGACACATGCAATTATGCTAGTACTGTTGAAAAATTACAACCGTAAACATGTGAATTTCTTGAAATATTACTGCAAACAGATCTTTCTCCCTATCATAATTTTTCTGCATTAAAAAAAATCAAAATCTTGCTATAAGTTTTTTTTTAAAAATCAGAATTTGTAATGGCATCTACCTTTAGCTTACACAAGAAGATTGTTACACCATGTTAACAGTTTTGTAAACCATATGAAATTTGAATGTCTGGTTTTTCATAATGGTTTATGATTACAGTATATCCACTGTGCTATCACAGTAATAAATTAGAGTATGATCGGTTATGGCCCTTTTCACATGTCCAATATACTCTCCCTGTGTATATAAAATGGGATGTGTTTAACTTTCCTGCGCACTGTACATAGATGGACCTTGTTATCCACAGGCTTGTTATTCCTTGTTTCAGATATCTCAAGTTGATAAACAAAGACCAAGTTGATATACCTGTATTGGTTTTCTTATATTCATGGCTTTGTCTCTACATGCACAGGATGGCGGAATTGCTTTTCCAGCATGTTTTTAAGGATTACAATCAAATTATCTCTGCTATCTTCCTATATTTGCTTCTCGTTGCTTGTTTGTAGTGGATCTTGTTAGTTGTGACAGCTGGCCTTCTTTGGAGTGACTAGCCTGGCTGGTTATAGAGGGAGCTGTTCTGCTTAAGTCCCATGGTTTACACTGCATTCTCTGCTCTGCAGAAATTGCCACGAACAATTAGCAGGCAACACCAGCATCCAGCTGCATAATCTCAGAGATGCCTCCCACAAGACTGTCAAAGTACCGCATAGAGAGGAGAAGCTAGCATGAGCCATGTGGTATGACCAGGGTGACGTCCTCCATCACCAACTGAATAAATTGCCCCCCCAAAAAACCCGGGTGCCACAAGGAAGGTACATGGAACCTCACAACTAGTGTGATCCAGTGAGGTCCACCACAAACAAGTAAGAAGGAATACTAAAAATAGTAAAATAGTAAAGGTTATCTGTATACAATCTGCCTTTATGGAAGGAAGAGAAAGGAAGGTCTTGTGGGAGGATCTGGACAACCATAGGCCCCAGAATCTAACCCACCCCACTCCCAACTCAATTATCTGTGGTTTTGTTATCTGCTGGAATATAAATATATAAAACTGCCCATTAAAATGTGAAAATAATAGTTCTTTTAAGAATTTCGACAAAGCTTGCAACTGAAGTTTCTCTGCAAGAGATCAGGAACTCTCTGAACTTTTTGAAAGCTAGGATATCAAGATTTCATTAAGCAAATTTTTAAATTATATTTTCCATACAGATGTAGTCTAGAAAAATGTTCCTCT